CGGCGGCCAGCCGCGAGCAGGGGTACGGGTAGGGGTGCACGGCGAAGGAGGCGTTGGGGCCGTGGTAGCGACCCCCCTCCTGGCCCTGCTCCGTGAGGAAGTTGCGCGAGTTGAGCTGCAGGCAGCCGGCCACCAGGTTGGTGGTGGGCTGCGAGAGCCCCTTGCACAGAGTCTGCACGTAGGAGACCAGATCGGGCCGCTTGCCCGAGCGCAGGATCTCGGAGAGCGCCCAGATGTAGTTCTTGGCCAGGCGCAGCGTCTCGATCTTGGACAGCTTCTGCGTCTTGGAGTAGCAGGGCACGACCTTGCGCAGGTTGTCCAGGGCCGCGTTGAGGCCGTGCATGCGGTTGCGCTCGCGCGCGTTCGCCTTCATGCGGCGGAGCTTGAAGCGCTCCATGCGCGCCTTGGTCATCTTCTTCTTCTTGGGGCCGCGCCGCTTGGGCTTCTGCTCATCCTCCTCGTCCTCCTCGTCCTCGTCCTCCTCCTCGTCCAGCTCGTCCTCCTCATCCTCCTCGTCGCCGTTGCGCAGCGCGTCCTCCTCAGCCTCGCCGGGCAGCCCCTCCGGCTCCTCCTCCGCCTTGTCGCGCTCCCCGTCGCGGGGGCTGAGGCGCCCCTCCGCCCAGCGCGGCGGCCCCGGCTCGCCCATGAGGCCGCTCTCGCTGTACGACTTGGTCATGGCGACCCTGCGGGGACACGGACACGCGTTAGCAGCGCGGAGGTGCCCGCCCGCGCCGCGCTCCCCCGCGCGCTCCGCTCCGCACACGCACCATTATGCAACGGGACAAGATCCGTGGGATTATAAACGGCTCAGGGGCGTTAGAAACGGGGGCGGCACCAAAAGCGGTAACAGGCGCGAGGGGCGCGCAGGGAGCTCCGCGTGTCTCCGCTGCAGCCACCGCCGCGCCCGCCGGCTGCGCGGGGCAGGAAACAATGCGGAGAGCCGGGCAGCGCAGCGCTCCAAGTTGCAAGGTGTATGGACGTGCGCGCATACACCTATGTGCACATATACACGCATACGCAGACACGCACACGCACACGTATAGATATACACACACACATATTATGTATACGATTTATAATATTAATCCACAAAACCTTCTAGTAATGCCATGCATGTTGCTCTAGGTTCACTACAAACTTTCATAGTTAGGTATTGAGGAACATACAGCACTGTCAAGATGTAACCCAAGGACTCGGCACTGCTAGGGCCCGGCATGGCTGGCAATGCGCTTTGGTATAAAGTGCAGTATTTTCATTAGCTGAGAAAGGGGGCCCTCTGCTGGGCGAGGCGCGGGCTCAGCTCTGCCCTCACAGCCTCTTCCTCGCACACACCACAATGCTCTTGACAGCGGCTGGCGATGAAACGTTGCAA